AATTACAGCCAATAGGAGAACAGAGCAATCAGTCAGCACAACACCCCAACTTATGCTTTGCTGTTGGATATTTATTCTCGTTTCACTATTTTAAACTCCGGGCCCTCGAAGTGTCCTTGGCCCGGAGAGAGACTCTGGCAGTGCCAGCGCCCCTGACAGAGCCCCTGGGGGCGCCGCCGTCTATGGCATTGCCACTGTGAGCGCCACTACCTTTGAGGGGGCCTCTGGATGCGCCACTGACCCTGGAAGCGCCCGTGATCGCGCTGGTGTCCCTGGGAGTTCCTCGGGGAGCGCCAATGCCCTGGTAGGGCGCCTGGGGCGCTGCCGTAACTGGGAGGGCCCTTGGGGGCTCCGTCGTTCCTGGGAGAACGGCTGGAAACGTGGCTGTTCCTGGGAGAGCTCCTGGGAGCGCCAGCTATCCCGGCGGGGTCCTTGGGGTTGCCACTGTTGTTGGGAAGGCCCCTGGTAGCTCCGCTGACCCTGGGTGAGCCCCTGGGGACGCCACTGTCCTTGGGAAGGACGCTGAGAGTGTGGCTTTCCCTGGGAGAGTCCCTGGCAGCGGCAGCGACCCTGGCAGGGTTCTTGGGGGTGTCGGTGATTATGGAAAGGCCCCTGACAGCGTTCGCTGTCCCTGGGAGAAACCCTGAGGTGCCATCGCCCGTGTAATGGCCCCTAGGGGTAGTTTGTTTTGCACTATTTAAAAGTCTGGGAGATATGACGTTAAATAATACAACGCCCATCACATTTCCAGTATCATCGTATCCTGAACAATGAAATGGAGAATAAATATCCAACAGTAAAACCTAACCTAACCTTGCCTAAGCTAACTTAACATAACTTTTAGCAAAATCTCGCTTCTGGTTATTTTCCAAATAACCACAATGTGTTGTAGTCGCTCTTCGTTTTTTGAGCCCAGTATAAATTTTGGCCATTTCTTTAGCACTTTTTTGCTGCATTGTACTGTACTGTACTGTACTATGTGGTGTACAGTACTGTAATGTACAGTACTCTACTGTACTTACTGTAATATGTACTGCACTGTACATTATATTAAACACTATAATGTCCTGTACAGTTCTGTACTGTACTGTACACCATACATTACAGTACACTATAGTACAGTATCTCCTAAGGACACACCAGGTACTGAAGGGGCGGCCGATGGGACTTATGTTATGCTCACCTAACATAATGTGATGAATACTGTCAACCGCTACAAGTTACTGGCTCTTGATATATCTCAGTGTTTAAAGCTCAAATGTTTATAATACGTTAAAACTAAATATTGTTCTCAACCCTAAGTATATGACCAAAACACCTCCTCATTTGCTCCCCAGTCATTGTCACATATTTTTAACATTCGCCTTAACACCACATTTTAAAAGCCTGTAATCTCTTTACGTCGCAAGGTAAATGTTATAATCTCGATAATACAGGTCGGGTTAATGGCAGTGTGGGGACCAAGACTCATAGTGGCACATAGGGAGACTTAGATGATAACTCCCAGGACAACAGCCTTACCAGTTGTAAAAGTGGTGGCACAGTTTACAGTACACAGCCAGTTTAAAATTTTACACACACACACACACACACACACACACACACACACACACACAAAGTTCAATAAAACACAAAACTATTTAATTAATATTTACTAATAAAATTGTCGTATAAAACCACAACAAAAACACCCATAATACACAAGGCCTGAAGGATCTCCACTAGGACTGTCTACTAGTGGTAATAGCAGTCAGATAGATAAAGAAGTAGACAGGTATGTAGACAGATAGAGATAACAGAGATAGTGACTGGGAGAGATACAGAGTTACTGACAGAGATAAATAAACTAACAGACAGACAGATAACTAGAAAGAAAATCACAGCTAAAACTACACTCGCTCTCAGAAAGTTACAATTCGTAGCTAAAATGAACTGGAAAGAGAGAGAGAGAGAGAGAGAGAGAGAGAGAGAGAGAGGTAAATGAAGTAACTCACGCAGGCAAACTGTACATAGGCGGGATTCTTGTCTCTCATCAACCACCACCATCACATTATGAAACTAACACTGGGAAGGCAAATCACTCTACTCTTCCTGTGTAATATTCATATGATAGGAAAAAATAAATAGATATCACATGAGAATAGAGTATGTAATGGATGACTCTTGTGATTTTACTGACAAAAAAAAACGCTTGAGGATATTACAGACTTATTCCTAAAGTATTGCACATTACAGCCAGAGTTAATCTGTGCCGAGGGGAGTTGACGTCACTATTCGTAGGAGAGTTCCACATTGAAGCCATTACCGTCGTCAAAATACTTCACAATCTGGGTGCGGCCATCTGGTAGGAGAACACTGTATTGCCCCCTTACCTGTGGGAAGGGATAGATAGTTAGATGGGTGGGTGGACGGATGGTTTGACTTAAATGATAGAAATAACCTTAAGAATATCGTCATAGTTGCACTTTAAACCACACACAAAGGTTTATTTCTGGCGTCTTTATGTATTTATCTACTCCTTTTCTCTCCTTTATTTACCCATTTAATTATTTATTTATCAATATATTTAACTTTATACTTACGACGTTGCCATCAGATTCCTCCTTCTGTGAGAACTGGTTGCCGGAGTTGGGATCGTTTACTCCCCAGCCGAAGTCATAAGGCATACCGGCCATCATGGCTGGGGCGGCCGTGGTGGTAGTAGTGGTGGTGGTTGTTGTGGTGCTGGTGGGAGGCTTCTGTACCATAGAAAACGGACATTAAAAACCCTTAATACCATTCCTCCTTGGCTAGATGTATCAGTCCCTGTTAATTACACACCTGTTAGTGGTAAGCAAATGTTAAACATCAATGTGGTGAGATGTGTTACACTAGAAACTATTAACAGTCACATAGAGAGTATTAAATTAAGTGATTGTTATGCTTTTACTGATGGTTCTGTGCAGACAAACACAGGTAGAACAGGCTGTGCAATTGTAATATATAAAGAAAAAGAGACGATAGTGTCAAACAAACAAAGGCTGAACAACTGGGCCAGCACAACACAAACTCAACTAATGGGAATCTATTTAGCTGCAGACTACCTTAAAGAAAATGGAGGTGGGGTGATATTCTGTAACTCTCAAAGTGCTATGTAATCGATGAACAGACTGTCAGCCTCATGTCTAAAGTTGTCTGTGATTTTAAAAGAAATGTGATAAATGCCAATGAAAACAACGCTCGTATTGAATTTATGTGGATTCCGTCCCATGTTGGAATTAGGTATCATGACCGTGCTGATAGACTCGCCAATGAGGCATGTAAGAAAGAAAATGTTGACCGTGACCTTGGCCTGTCCAATGCTGTACTTAAAAGCATTCAAGTCAAAATCATGAACTCTGATCTAGAAGAACTGAGAAAGGCACAAAGACCTGACAGTTGTAGTACAGTATTAGTAAATATGGCAAATTTTGTGACAAGAGGTACCGTTATGGCCATCACAAGGACAAAATCAGACAATGTGATGTAGCCGTGGCCAAAATTAGGCTAGGAGACAGCCACATCTGGCAAGTTCGCAACGCTGTTCCCATACCGGAACACTCAGCATGTAAACTTTGTGATAAACCTTCAAAGCATACACTTGAACACTATATTATTGAATGTGACACTGTCAAAGACTTCAGGCCACCTGGCTTATTGTATCATGAACTTTGTAATTACTACATTAAATCAGGAGTCCTCGAGGACCTTCTTGTAGTAGTCTATCCTAAATTTGCTCGTCCACACTGATTGGTCCTCAAACACAATATAACACTAAAGAATATGACTATTGTAGATGAACCTCTGTCCTGCGTGGCACCCTCAGTGTCAAGTCTTGACTGAACTACTTAGAATAAGGAAGTTGTACCTCAAGTTTTGCCAATAAAGTTAACTAAACGCACTAAAATCACTCACTCACTCACTAACTTACCCTGGTGACGGGTTTAGGGTCTGAAGCTTCAGCTTGAGGTAACTGGTAAAGGCCTGATGGAGGAGGGGGTGGTGGAGGGGCGATGGGCGTCTCGTACAATCCTGAGGGAACAGCAGGGACCTGTGGGGTAGGAACATCCTGTAGTGAATTAATTAAGAAACAACAATAAACAATACACGTAAAGGTGTGTGTGTGTACACACACACACACACACACACACACACACACACACACACACACACACACACACACACACACACACACACACACACACACACACCACCACCACTGTTACTCACACACCCCGAGGCAGTGACTGAAGTGTGGGTGATCCATATATGACCAGCTGATGCTCTACCTCCCACCCTCCCTACTATCTCCCTCCACTCTGGCCTCCACCCTCCACCCTGGCCTCCACCCCACCCCTTTCCACCCTGCCTCCACCCTCTTGCCTCCCTCCACTCTGGCCTCCACCCTGGCCTCCACCCTCTTGCCTCCCTCCACCTGACCTCCACCCTGACTCCATCCTCCTACCTCCCTCCACCTCCCGCCCTCCACTACAAACACAACTCCACCTCACCAATGATATTCCTTCCACCCAGAGAGAGAGAGAGAGAGAGAGAGAGAGAGAGAGAGAGAGAGAGAGAGAGAGAGAGAGAGAGAGAGACCATCCTCACTATAAACTGGTCCAGCTAAACCTTACCTGAGTCATGGCTACATTATGTGCTTCAGACACGTGCAAGGTGTGTGTGGTATCTTATATGTACTCGTATCCTTAGGAGGTCTCACACACACACACACACACACACACACACACACACACACCTGAACTATACGTCACCTCACAGGTATTTCTCACCTGCTCTAGGAAATATTACAGGTACCTCACGTAAGCAGGTGTATCAACATTTCATCAACATTCCCCCCACACACACACACACTTGGGCAATGTCAAGGTGAGGTGAGGGCGTGGGTGAGGGCGTGGGGTGAGGGCGTGGGGTGAGGGCTGGGTGAGGGCGTGGGGTGAAGGCGTGGGGTGAAGGCGTGGGGTGAGCGTGGGCGTGTAGGAGTAAGATAGATAAATGGGCGGTGCTGGGAGGGAGGTCAAGGAGAGCTGACCAAACAGGATACGACTTACTAGGTGACCGTGTGCTTGTGTCCTGGGCAACTCCTTATAGCATACAAGCTTATTAGGGAGAGTGAGGGAGAGGAGTGAGGGGAGAGGAGGTGGGGAGGGAGAGGAGGCGAGGGGGGAGGTGAGGGAGAGGAGGCGAGGGGGAGGCGAGGGGGAGGCGAGGGGGAGGCGAGGGGAGGTGAGGGGAGGGGAGGTAGGTGGGGAGATGGTGGGGGGAGAAGGAGAGGGAAGTGAGAGAGAAGAGAGGTGAGGGAGGCAGAAGAGAGGGGAGATGGTGGAGGTGAGAGGAGAGGGAAAGTGAGAGAATGGAGAGGAAAGAGACAGAACAAGAGGAAGAGAGGAAAGAAGGAGGTAAGAGAATTAAAAAGAAGAAAGAAAAGAAAAATTGAGGAGAGAGAGTGTGTATCAGGACCGTTCCAATATACACATATAACATCCCTCCCTACACCCTACATCCTCTCTACACCCCACCCTCCCCACACCCCTACATCCTCTCTACCTCCACCCTCCCTACACCCTCCCTCACACCCCTACATCCTCTCTACACTCCACCCTCCCTACACCCTACATCCTCTCTACACCCCACCCTCCCTATACCCTTCCAACACCCTCCTACACCTACCTACACCTACCCTTCACCCTCCCTACACTTCCCTACACCTAACCTTCCCTACACACTCCCTACACCCGGGTTACACAGTCGACTCACCTCATAAAGGTTTGCGGGTAGTGCAGGTGGTAGGTAGTTATATCCGGGTTGCTGTGGAGGCTCGTAGTTATACTTCTGACCAACTCCAGCCCCGACGTGGTTCCTTGACCCCGACCCAAGCTGCCCCAACTTCGCTGAGTGGCAAGCCAGCACGCCCCGCACGCCCACTAGTCCGACCTGCATGAGTACTCAAGGTTAGGTTAAAGTAGCATAGTGTTAGGTTAGGTTATAAGTCATTGACGTTCCTGTATCCTCACGTTCTATCACTGAAGAATTCCAGGTGTGGGCGTCACCTGTGTAAGGATAACCTGACCTCTGACCTCACACACGAATATGAAATGGTTCTGTAGTTTTTATACCGTGAGGCGAGACGCAAAGTTATCGTCCGAGAGATTATGTTATATTTTGTGTAGGAGAGAGTAATGTGTTCATTCTTGGTCTCTCTTTCTCTTACTTACTTCTCTTGTCTTATTTCCTCCATACACCATTCTCTTACTTTATGTTGATCTAGTTTTAATTGTGTTAAGTTGTCAGATCTCTCTCTCTCTCTCACTTTCTCTCCACGAGACAGTGACCTGTGTTGTAACACCGTGAGAGTGTACAGATCTGTTGAACTTTAACCCTTGAGTACGATGTGACAAGTGTGTCATGTGATGGTGTCATGTTATGGTGTCATGTTATGGTGGCATGTCAAACCCTCCCCCTCTCTCTCTCTCTCTCTCTCTCAGAAACAAATACCATTATTACATCCAACACAGACAGGCGATTTTGCAAGCCAATATTTACAGTCAATAAGATAAATGAGTATTACCCTTCCTCACCCGCAGCCCCTCACATCCAGTCCCTCGCCTCCAGTCCCTCGCCTCCAGTCGTCCTCCTCCAGCCCCTCACACCTCCAGCCCCTCACCTCCAGTCAATCACCTCCAGTCCCTCGCCTCCAGTCGTCCTCCTCCAGCCCCTCACCTGCAGCCCCTCACCCCAGCCTCACCCCCAGCCCCTCACCTGCAGCCCTCAGATAGCTGATATAATCAACATTGACCGCAAAGTCAAGGAAAATGTTCTTTACGTCACACACACACACACACACACACACACACACACACACACACACACACACACACACACACACACACACACACACACACACACACACACACACACACACACACCTGACAACAATAATTGGGTCTTAGAAACTGATAATGACGTCATCAATAGTCATAATGAAGAGGGTAATTACGAGGTCATATTCTAATCAGATCACTGTTGATGGTTCCTGACCTGATGACCCAACGAGTGTGAAAGTTCTCTCTCTCTCTCTCTCGTAATCTCATATTTTCCGTATATATCAAGACTGAAGGTTGTAAACTTATGGTTAAAAATCTATATAAACAAACACAATAATCCCGTAATACTTTGAAGAGTAGAAAAGGTAAAAAAACATTCATTATTTAGTCACGTAGTCATTAGGTTTCCAGTGTATCTTAAAACTAAAACTTTTATATATACAAAAAATATATCTAGTTCAATATATAAAATACTCCCGTAGTCCTTTAACATCTAGTAGCAGTAAACCTAAGAAAATAAACAAAAAAAATAAAATATATCCACATAAAACTCAATTTCTTCCAAACTTTACACTTGAAAAAAAATATATTAATACAAAAGAATAAACACAATACTCCCGTAGCCCCTGGCGTACAGTACCTTCAACATGTCGACCACACGGCAGAGTTAACAGACCCGGGACTGAAGGCGACTCGTGCGTTACACATCTTATATACCTGAGGCCGGAAGACGATGACGAAGACCGCACCGTTGCCAGAGCCCGAGCAGGCAATATTAGGAAATAGTTGAGAGTGAGGAGGAGGAGGTGTTGGGTCTAGGGTGGAGTAGGAAGAGGAGGGTTGGAGAAGGAGGAGGCGGAAGAGGAGATGGAAGGTGTTGTATTACGTCGAGGGTGGGGGCTGTAGGGAGGAAGAGGAGGAGGAGGAGGAAGGTGTGTTAGCTTGAGGAGGAGGAGGATGGAGAGGAGATAAGGAAGAGGAGGAGGAGGAAGGTGAGTGAAGCTTGAGGAGGAGGAGGATGGAGAGGAGATGTAAGGAAGAGGGAGGAGGAGGAAGGTGTGTTAGCTTGAGGAGGAGGAGGATGGAGAGGAGATGTAGGGAAGAGGAGGAGGAAGGTGTTAGCTTGAGGAGAAGGAGGATGGAGAGGAGATGTAAGGAAGAGGGAGGAGGAGGAAGGTGTGGAGCTTGAGGAGGAGGAGGATGGAGAGAGAAAGAAGAGGAGGAGGAGGAAGGAAGTAGTTGAGGAGGAGGAGGATGGAGAGGAGATAAGAAGAGGAGGAGAGGAAGGTGTGTTAGCTTGAGGAGGAGGAGGATGGAGAGGAGATGTAAGGAAGAGGAGGAGGAGGAAGGTGGTAGCTTGAGGAGGAGGAGGATGGAGAGGAGATGTAAGGAAGAGGAGGAGTTGGTACTGATTGCCTGTGTGCACGATGGGTATTGCTGAGGCGATAGATATCTACGTGTAGTTTTGTTTTGTTTTCACGTCGATGCATTGGTGATGGTTGGTGATGTTTGTTGGTGATGTGTTGTATTGTATTGTATTGTGTTGGTGAGTCTTGTGCCTAAGTCCTGGGGTTTAGCTGTTGGCCACTCAAGAGGTGTGAGTTACAGACACCAGCCACCGCGTCACACCTGGGGACACCGCGTCACACCTGGGGACACCTCTAGGCTAATGGACCAGAAGAACACTTAAGACTCTTCCACCCAATAGCTCGACCATGGTAGTTTTAACATCTGTATCATATATAAACACACACCTGAAGCCCTGCACACCTCAAGACCAACACACCTGAAGCCCTGCACACCTCAAGACCAACACACCTGAAGCCCTGCACACCTCAAGACCAACACACCTGAAGACCAGCACAACCGAAGACCTGCACACCTGAAGCCCTGCACACCTCAAGACCTGCACACCTCAAGACCAGCACACCTGAAACCCTGCACACCTCAAGACCAGCACACCTGAAGCCCTGCACACCTCAAGACCAGCACACCTGAAACCCTGCACAACCGAAGACCTGCACACCTCAAGACCTGCACACCTCAAGACCAGCACACCTGAAGCCCTGCACACCTCAAGACCAGCACACCTGAAGACCTGCACACCTCAAGACCTGCACACCTCAAGACCTGCACACCTCAAGACCAGCACACCTGAAACCCCTGCACAACCGAAGACCTGCACACCTCAAGACCTGCACACCTCAAGACCTGCACACCAAGACCTGCACACCTCAAGACCAGCACACCTGAAACCCTGCACAACCGAAGACCTGCACACTCAAGACCGGCACACCTCAAGACCTGCACACCTCAAGACCAGCACACCTGAAACCCTGCACAACCGAAGACCTGCACACCTCAAGACCGGCACACCTCAAGACCGGCACACCTCAAGACCGGCACACCTCAAGACCTGCACACCTGAAGCCCTGCACACCTCAAGACCTGCACACCTCAAGACCTGCACACCTCAAGCGATACACACCTGAAACCCTGCATACCTGAACCTGTGCATACCTCAAAACCTACACACCTGAAGACCTACACACCTGCCCCATGCTGATGACAATGACATGAAATTTAATAAGGTGTGAGAATCACTACCACCACCTTGATTTCTTGACCTGGACTGACTTAGATCTTGATTGGGGGAACGAGAGCGTCAGACAATACCTTCCTGGTGACATTACCTGTGCTGTAACTTAATGACTACATGTCTTACCTTGAAGCTCACAACACCTTTACTACAACACCACCACCACAACACCCTCCACCAACACTCTCCACCAACACCTCCACCACAGCACCCTCCACCACACACCCTCCACCAACACCCTCCACCAACACTCTCCACCAACACCTCCACCACAACACCCTCCATCACAACAACACCTCCATCACAACACCCTCCATCAACACCTCCACCAACACTCTCCACCAACACCTCCATGACAGCACCTCCACCACCACCCCACCAACACTTCCACCAACACCACCACCACAACACCCTCCATCACAACACCCTCCATCAACACCTCCACCAACACTCTCCACCAACACTCTACTCACAACACCCTCCATCACAACACCTTCCATCAACACCCTCCACCAACACTCTCCACCAACACCCTCCATCACAACACCTTTCCATCAACACCTCCACCAACACTCTCCACCAACACCTCCACTACAGCACCTCTCCACCACACACCTCCACCAACAATCTCTCCACTACAGCACCTCCAACACACCCTCCACCAACACCCTCCACCAACACCCTCCAGGCACTGTTGTTTGCTCGTGGTGGCGTTAGATGGTGTGACGCGATGAGCTAGCAGTGTTTAGGTCATTGTCACGTGTGGGTCCGGCACCTGTAGGCCTACCTGTCCTCATTATAACCTGTCTGTGAGAGTTACTGAGGGAACTCCCACGGTTTATGTGTTGGCTGCCAGGGAGAGTGAGAGGGGGAGGGGAGGGAGTGAGAGAGGGGAAGGTGGGAGAGGGGAGGAGAAGGAAGAAATGGAGAGGGGGAGGAGAGACTGAAAAGTGAGATTAATGGAGGAGAGAGGGGAAGGGGAGAAAGAGGGGAAGAGGGGGAGAGAGAGGGAGAAGAGGGGGAAGAGGGGGAGAGAGAGGGGAAGAGGGGGGTGAAAGAGATGAGGAGCAGGAGGGGGGAGGGGGAAGGACAGAGAGTTTATGAAAAGTGAGTGATGGAGAGAGAGAGAGAGAGAGAGAGAGAGAGAGAGAGAGAGAGAGGAAAAAAGAGAGAAACATACAAACAAAGACACATCAATATAACAAAAATAAAACACATCTAAACATAAAACAAACTAAGAACTGTACAGGCGCATTAAAACACAGAAAAACATATAAACAGAAAGACGTAGATAGAAATAAAAGAAAAGCGAGAGAAATAGCCTCATCTATGCCTGACAGGGAGAGATAGAGAGTGAGTGAGGAGGATAGATACGTCAATACTAATGCTATCAATAAGAGATGGGGGAATACACACACACATAGATCGCTTAAAACACAAAACGAATAGAGTGACGTAATAAATAAATCGAATATTATTTTTTCCGCCATTAACAATAATTATATAATATTTAGTACATAATAAATGATATAATACCCAAATAAACGAAACGTAAATGAAAAAAATACCCACAATCATCGCTTACAGAACAAAAACGAAGCTAGTACTTGATAATACCGACTAGAATGAATAAATAACTTTTTTTCCTCCAAGAATAAAAATAATCACATAAAAATTCACATATAATAGGAATATTTAACCCCCCAAAAAGGTATATGGTAGGGAAAATCCACATAACAGACGACAATAAAGAGAAAAATGAGTAAATTTGTTAAAAAGTATCATAATCCCCCCCATAGTGGGTTTCATTAGGTGGTCACTGCATTATGAGGACCTCGCCAGAACAACACCCACACACACTTAACTGATGGTTGTTCTAGAAGGCCTGACTCAACCTGTAAGAGAGAGCAACAGGCAGACAGGTTGGTAGAGAGAGAGAGGGAGACTTAGAGAGAGAGAGAGGAAACAGAGAGCGAGAGAGAGAGAGAGAGGGGGGGCACTCCACCAGCACACATACAAGGTAAGGAGAAATACACAAGGAGTCAAGTGTGTGTGTGTGTGTGTGTGTGTGTGTGTGTGTGTGTGTGTGGAGCCTAGGCTGACCTTGACGAGACCTTGAGGTTACTGGGCTCATTAATCTCACTCACAGGGACTAATTGATCTCATTCTATCATTCTCATTCACTGTTCTCATTAATTTATTTATCTAACTCACTGATCTCAGCTCCTTCACTGTTCCAACTGACTAATCTCACTCACTAAGCTCACTCAATAATCTCACTCACTAAGCTCACTCAATAATCTAACTCAATAAGCTCACTCAATAATCTAACTCACTAAGCTCACTCAATAATCTAACTCACTAAGCTCACTCAATAATCTCACTCACTAAGCTCACTCAATAATCTCACTCACTAAGCTCACTCAATAATCTAACTCACTAAGCTCAGAATGATACAGGGTGTAACGAAATGAGTCAGCAATACCAAGGGTGATACAGGGTGACACAAAATAAAATAGGAAATGCCCAGAAATGCAGAAATACGTTTAAAAAAATGACCAAATTATTCCAAGAAACAAAAATACATAAAAAATACCAAAGAAATTCCAAGAAACGTAGAATTACTTTTAAAAAATCCCCCCAAAATTCCAAGAAGAGACACAAATACTTTTAAAACTACCCAGAAATTCCAAGATTATACATAAATGCTTCAGAAAGCCCCAAGAATATCTAGTAGGGTATGAAATAAATTCCCAAATGCCCAAAAATAACCCGGACTGACCCTAACGTACACAGGAAATACCCAAGTTGACCCTGGCTGACCCCACAACTGACCTACAACTCCTAATATTATATATAAAAATCAGTGAGTAGTGAAAGTCATGTTTTACACAGTACATCCTGGACCCACTGTTAACGTGTGTGATGGGTTTACTGAATATATATATATGAGGATAGATAGATGGACGATAAAGATGGTAATAAGAAGGAGAAGGAGAGTGATATTTTTGGTGGGTTTGTAGATAAGAAACACTAAATATGTAGATGAACAGGTGAGAGAGAGAGAGAGAGAGAGAGAGAGAGAGAGAGAGAGAGATGTGTTGGATTTTTGTGGTCAACAAGACTCACTGGTGACTCAGGCTGGTCAACACAAGTCACCGGTGCTGCTCTAACAATAGTTGTGACGTGGACAAGACTGAGGCGACGAGTTGAAGGGGTAGTGGAAGGGGTCAAAATAAGTCAACACGCCTCGTTAGCAGTGATGGTTTGGCTGTGTACATAATGATGGGAATTGTGTCTGGTAATGACCCTTAAGTGAATGTGTCGCACGAACTACTGTAAACTCTCTCTCTCTCTCTCTCTCTCTCTCTCTCTCTGACACAGCCGCCCAAGGTAGACACTTCATAAAGGGAAGGCAAGGTTTTAGGGCCGGGCGCCACCCACAACAAGGCCATGTTTTGAGTGAACAATATTTACTGTACCCGCCCACGCCTACACCCACCCACGCCTACACCCACCCACACCCCTTGTACCCACCCACGCCCGCCTACACATTCACTGTATCCTCCCACGCCCACACATACTGAACCTGCCCACACCCACCCAAACACCACTGTCAACACCCACACTAACCCACACCTGTATCCACTCACACCTACCCACCCAGATCCACCCAATCTGTACTCATCCGCGTTCTCTACTTCAGATAATCTTTCATAACCAATTCAGGACTAGCACGCCCCTCACCCCTCCCTCACCCCTTCCCTCACTCCTCCCTCACCATCCTGACCACCCACGCCCATGTGTTGGCCTTCAGGGCTCGTATAGGATCATCCACGCCCACAAACGCCCAATAACCTGTTGCCACCCATGACTAGACGAACTGCCACACACACACACACACACACAGTTCTCTCCTCCTTCCTATTATCCTCATTCGCCTCACTCACTATACTGTTATGTTCTCCCCCCCCTGCTCCTTCTCCCCCTGCCCCGCCTCCTCCCCCTGCCCCGCCTCCTCCTCCTCCCAGAAAAGCTTGCAACATGGTTTATCCCGGCACGAGTTACAACGAAAAGTAATTCATGCTTGGTATTTCGTCTAACCTGTTGCTCTCAATATAGCTGTTTATGTCTGTTTGTTTGTCCATCTGTCTGTCTGTCTGTCTCACTTCACACACATCCAACACACATCAGAACTAAACCAACCAACATTTTGTTTACATATTTCAGGATAACGGTACAAGAGCCCTGACCAGGAGAGCTGTGGTGAGGGGCTCAGTGAGGGCCTCGTAACTCTGGCTACCGTCACCAAGGTCACTCACTAACCTTTACCACTCAGATACCTCAACTGACCTGTCACGCTAGTATGGTGGTGACGTGTTTACTGTTGTCACGCGATGGTGTGATATAGTGTCTTGATGTATGGTGTGGTGTATGGTGTATGTTATGGTGTATGATGTATGTTGTAGCGTATACTCAGAACTCTAGTGTATGTGTATACGGAGGTGATAAGTGCTATACATACATAACTATAACTCAACTATATCGGGGTTTAAATACACAAAATACAGACCTTGTAAATGAAAACTGTCTACAATACAATACAGTTACCTTTTGTGTATGTTTTCCCTCAGACAAATTGTTCTTCAAGTTCTCACGACAGTTGTATTACATGGCGGTGTTGTTGTTCTTCACGTCCACGACTCTACTGTCCTCCTCCTCTTCACGACACCTGTTATGTTTTGCGACCTACAGTAGGGCGCTTCTAATTGGCTGATATCCGTCAACTTGTAAGCGAATCGGTTTGTAAGATAGGCGCTGATTGGTCGAGCAAATATAAACACGTGAAGTTGATTTTTTTTTATATACGATATTTATTGGCTGACGAATACA